AGACTTGTGATGGTGACATGCACAGAACCCTAGGGCTGCACACACAACAACCTGTGGCTGCCATCTTTGGCAGGAATTCAAAGCTCTTGGCTGGAATTTCTTTAGGTTGTTGTGGATTGAAGAGAAGGAAAGAAAAGGACATCATCGGAATTTAGTTTATTTTTGGACCTTGATTTTAAGGGATGTTTTCATTAAGTAGATTTTGGCTTTTGTTTTCTTTAAGCATGAACTAAATTCTATTTTCTAGGATTACAATGGAACTTAGCATGTAGATTGGTATTTTTAAATTTAATTTTATCATGATAATTTCATATTCAAACTATTTATTTCAACTCTATTCTTATACTTTTAATTGCCTAGCCAATAGTTGAATAGATTTAGGAATTGAATTGAATCTTGATGCAGGAATATTCAATTTAGCCATGAATTCAATAGCCTAGGTTTGATTTATTTGCATAAATGATAAATTGATCTATGTGTAGGATAAAATATACCTATTCATCCTATGTAATCAAAATTGCGGTCTATGCTTAATGAATCTAATTTAAATTGATTTTCACATAAATATACAAAATTAATTATTTGAAAGAAAAATATAAATAATTTAACTCTCCAACTTAATAGTTCAATTTGTTTGAATTCAGGATAGGTTAGTTTGAAATCCAATTGAATGTTAAGAAAAGTTGGAATCCTAGTTTTCCCTTCATTGATTCTTAGCTCTAGTGCCATGTGACAATTTCTTTTCATTTTAATTTAAATTTAATTTTTTATTGAATTTCTCATTCTCAATTTAAGATTAATTGGATAAAAATGGATTGTTCTAATTTTAGACTTAGAAAGAAAATTAGGGTCAAGTCCTTGTAAGAACAATATCTTTCTTATCACTATGTTACTTAAAATGCTATGTATACTTGCATATTGAATTGGGGGCAGCAATGACAACCTGAACTCCCTTTCTAGAAGCAATCCCAAACATGTGCTTTCAGGTTCTCCAGATCAGCATCTGACACTGTTGACAAGATGCAGCCAACCTATGTAATTGTACAATTCTTTAAGATCTACTAAATAACATAGAAATAAAATGTAGATATGCATACTTCTGGGACAGTGATTGATTGTGACATCATTCCCAATCTAAGAACATGCATAATTTTAAAATCTTAAGAAATAAAAGTGAAAAATAGAACAGTTTATAGAAGACTGCAACATCCTAACATTGAACGAAATTCAACACACTAGATTTTCTGATTTTGATTCATTTTTGAGTCCAAAACTGATCTTAACATCCATATGTCAATGGATGAAGAAGAGACCAGCACCAATGCCATGATTAAGTGAATTCACATGATAACTCTCATAGGCTAAGCAAGAAGCTTCTGTGTAATGTTCAAGCAACAAATGGGATAATCTAAGTTAACCATGACACCGTTAAAATCTTACAATTGTATCTTACTAGATCCCACATTTGGTCCAACGCTGTAGCCTCCAATCTTTCATTCACTTTCCAAGTTTAATTCCTTACTTCTTTTATATGGAGCAGAAGAGTCTCATTTTCCCAAATGACAAGCCTGAAGTCCTCTTTCAACGAGAAAATAAGGTTCTCTCCCTAATTAGATACAAAAGTTTTTGCTTGCTTCTTTTCTCATCTTGGGACACAAAAGGTATATGTTGAGTTATTGACTAGCCCCTCATCTAAAAGATCAATCTTGTAGCATGAGTGTTAACTTAGTTATTTATTTCTTAACATGACATCTCACATGTGGGCAAATTTTATGGGCCAAAAAGATTAAATGGAGAGGTGGTGTGATTGGTTGCAAGACCCTTACCTTCATTAATACCAGGTTATATTATTGAATACAATCACATTTAGAAGCTCAAGCTTGTACAGAGCTGGGTAACATAATTATTCATTTTTTAACAGTTCAGCTTTGTTAATAAAACTGATTCAGAAGATAAGATATCAGTATGAAATATCAGTTCATATTAACCATCACTTGAAAGATTTTTCCAAACTAAGTTGCTAACTAAACTAGTTATTTTTGGAAAGGAGGAAGCAAAGAAGATTTTATGTTAAACAAAAAATCAAAATTATAACCAAAAATTGTTTGGCTGGGATGGAAAAACAAGATTTTCTTCTAGCAACTTAAAAATGAAGATAAGAATAGTTTTACCTCAGAAAAAACTCCACCTACTCAAGCACACATTACCATGAATTAAACTAGCTTATATTGATATCCAAGTGAAAGCAAAGCCTAACCACGCATTCTAGGCACATAAAAGCACGGTCTATATGAAACAATAATCTCATTCCATTTCAATTACACATTCAGGCAAAAAACAAATAAGCATTATACTCAAATTATGGAATAAGTAATTAAAAAAAAAAAAAACTATATTCTATCTTCCACAGAAAGGCATTTATTCTTTTGAAATATTACCGGTTGACCAAACATGTGCATTCAGATATTATGTTAAGGCCCCTGAAACACAGGCCAAAAGAGGAAAATGTAAGTGATTAAATCTTATCCAGGAACCACTCACAAGAACCAAAGAAGCATTTTCAGATAAATCTAAATGTTGCTGCAGTGTGACTTTGCAAACAGATTTCCCTTTCATGTCATCTGCACTATAGTTCTGTGGAAGAAAGTGGTCTGAGGAAGGATTCCAGGCGAAGTTGTTAAATCCATAGGAGCAACCTGTAACTTGTCCCTATGTACAAATGAGAAAAGTTTCACTGATTAAAAGATATATATACCAGAGCTAGCACATACACTAAATTACATCGGCAGCTATTTGCATGTTAACTTCAGAAATATCTGTCCCATTTCAGTTCATGACAATAAAGTAAATGAAAAGAAACATGTAATAGATATATGCAACCAAAATTTGGGAAGGGCTAGAAAATACCACTCACTTGTGAATAGCTAAAGTAGCTTCCATCCATGGCTTAAATTACGAATAATCCTATCTTTTGAATGCAAGGATGACATTATAATAACTTTGTTGGAGTAAACAATTCCACCCTGCAAATTTATCCATGGAGGGCGAAAAAGCAAAACCAAAAACAAAAACGGTGATGCCAGTCACAATAATAAAGCATTTTTATACTGGGAATGTTGCAACATGGAAGGCATGTCGAAATGGAGTAACAACAAAAAAATAAGAAATATGGCTATATGGAATTCTTCCCACATTAACAGAGGGCAGTTGATGCTTTGAAGTATGCTGCAGTAGCTAGAGAAAACAGAATGAGTTAGGTGGAGAGCCTATGATTATTCCAAGGAATAACTAGGAACTGGCTCTTCCATTAGATCACCAATTATCAATAATAATATAGCACATGGAAAAAATACTGGCCATAAGTATTAATACAACCAAATTGGTATACAAATAAAACAATCCATATTTATGTGTATATATAATTCAGTTGCATTAATAATAAAATTGGTAGAAAGAGGAAGATAAGCAAACCTTCAAAATATTGACAAGATGTGTGTTACTGTTATCTTGAAATCGATCAGGACGGTGTAGTCTAGAAGGATCAAGTCCACACAGTGATAGCTTATCAGGTTGCTCCAGACACTAGAGAGAAAAAGAAATAACAGTGAAAAAAAACAGACAACACCAGTACTGTAATAACCCATAAAAAAGGCCTACGAGTTATTGACCTAAGCAACTTGCCTGAGCATCAAAACTATGACATGTCAGCAATATCCTAGTACCTCCCAATCCCTGCATATTAAGAAAAGAAAATTGAAAATACAAGATCAATTTGCATGGGTAGCATTTCTTCCTCTCCAGTTGCTTGTTAAGTTGTTAAGAGATACAGATGAGAAAGGAGATTCAGCATCAACATGCTATATGAAGGGTCAAAGAATCCCATCTAATATCCTCAGGAGGAAAAATCATAAGGTTAGTTTCATTTCTCTAAATTTTTAATTGACTAGCAAGTAGTATTGGCATATGAATATGTGTAGTTCCTTAAGGGGGCATTCGGATGGGAGGATAGGATAAAGGGTGATAAGATAAAACTGGATAAATTTATCCTGATTAAATAATTTTATCACATGTTTGGTTCAACTGATAACAAATAGGATAAAATTTTTGAAAAGTAGGATAAAATTTTAAATTTACTAAAATGCCCTCTATTATAATATAGTTAAAAAAAAAAAAAAAAAAAAAACATAGAGCTTCCTCCCTCTGCTTCGCCTCCGCCCATCTCCTCCTCCACCGTCTCCCTCCACCTCACCCCCACCAGCCGCGCCGATTCCCTCTGACCCTTCCTCCCTTTGCCTCTGCCCATCTCCTCCTCCACCTCCCCCCCCGGCCGCGCCAATTCCCTTTGACCCTTCCTCCCTTTGCTTCGCCTCCGCCCACGTCGGATTACTCAGCGCTCGTGGGCTATGCGTTCGTCAGCCGGATCCCAAATCGTATTCGCATCTGAGTGCAGAGCTCGATTTCAGAACATCTACCGATTTGGGATCCGGCCGACAAGCGTAGAGCCCAAATCAGATGTTAGAGATTTCAAAACATCTACGCCCCCGATTTGGGCTCAGCACTCGTCGCCAACTCCCTCTGACCCTTCCTCTGCATCGTCGGAGGAGGAGAACGAGAGGAGAAATGGGAGGAGAACGGGAGTCGCAGTTGCCCAACACTGCAGCTGTGAAGGAGGAGAACGGGGAAGCAGGGGCCAAACTAGTTTCACGACATAAGGAAGGAGAACGGGCTAAGGGCATTCATGTCCCAAAATCAAAATTTTGCCTGTGTTATCAGGGGGGATAAATTTTATCCCCCCAACCACTGGATAAACTATCACCCTAACTCTGATACATATCCTTCTCCCATCTTATTACACGCCAACCAAATGCATGATAAGGCAGGATAAGTTTGTCTTATCCTACCTTATCATGCCATCCGAACACCCGTAAGTTGATAGAATTGATAAAGGAGTCCTGAGAATTAGCATAAACATTTCGTGGCTTTATATAATGCTTATATGAAATCTTACCTTCCGATGAAGCAAGGATTTTTAGGTAGGATTTCTATGGTTTCTTCTCTTGCTTCTTTACTTCTTTTTTTCATTTTTATTTTATTTCTAGTGGTTAGTGTTTTGATTTAATATTCACAAGCACAGAAGATTAACCATTTCAAACCCAAAACATTAAATATTGTTTCCGAATCAACCTAACCCCTCCTAGTAATCAGCCTTCAACTTTACCCTAAAATTCTCTGAAAATTTTGCTATCTGCAACTACTGAAAATCATGAAATCAGTTGACTGTAAAAAATCAATTAATATGATGAAGAAAGTAGCAGTTCCAACTTTCACCTGTTTGACAAATACATCCCAGAAAAGTGGTCCAATAATAGCAGTTTGCCAGTTATGAATGTGCAACACATCCGGCTGCTTCCCTGATTTTACTATATAATCCATTGCAGCTCTGGAGAAATAAGAGAATCTGACAGCACCAGCCACGAAGTAAATAATATATCAAAGGTGGGCAAGAATGAAAAGAGTAGTTAACAATTTGTAGCAACAAAAATTGACAGAGCATACTAGTAGAATTTCTTTACTGGGTGAACATAACTGTGATAGACAGCAAGAATGGCTTTTCCATAGCAACAAATCAACAAACCTCCATGAAGGTTGAAGCTGATCTAAAGGTATGGGAATTTACCTAAAAGTTATACAAATATGAATAAATAAACTAACTACAGGTTTGCTATAGAGCCGGCCCAAAGCAGGGGATAAATTGCTCGTGTTCCATGGAAAGACTAGTCTCACAAAGTTGGAATTTGATGTCCTTGAGAGTATAAGGAATCAACTAAAAACATGAACCATACAGTTTTCTGGAAATTTAATATTGCTTTTAAAATCACTAATATGTTTGAAAACAAACAAAAAAAAAGTGTCTGAGTGATCACCTTCCAGTGCCTTCAGCATCAGCTCTTTATCTATCAAAATAATTTGCAAATTCCCCTCAAACAATTTCTTCTAAAACAAGAATGTTTTTCAACTTCCGTAAATACAAGGCCTTTTCATGCTAAATGCAGCATTGCAAGTATCACTGGTAACTAGTAAGAAATGCAACCAATTCAACTAAATTAATTTGACACGTGTGACATTTCAAACCTGATTATCTGCAAACTAAAAAGTCTGTACATGTGCAACAAGGTTCAGGTGGTTTCTAGTTGTTGGCTTAACAAGAAGAATAAAAGAAAATATATGGGCAAGCAAACAAAATATCAAAGTCATTGGTCAAAAAGTTCAGTAAAACTGCACCTTACTATTTAACAAATAAAATAAAAATCACTAAATAATGGCGGGATAATCAAAGAATATAAATGCAAATTAAGAAAAGAAAGCTTTATTGAAACATCAAATTTTGCCAAACTGGCAGTATCACAAAACACTGGGCCAGTACAAAGAAATACTATAAAGAAGAGAGACATCAATGATGAAGAAAGAAGAAACCAAGGAAACAGCCAAAACAATTGGTGAATCCACAAGCGCCCCCCCCCCCCCCCCCCCCAAAAGAAAGGGATATTCTGATATTTACAATTTTTAGAGAGAGGAAAAAAAAAAGCATTAACAACAATTGAAATCAAGAAGAGAAAGGCACTAACCGTTCAAAGTCATTTGAGTAGCCATATACTCTCTCTTGGCTGAAGAGCGATGCATAATGAACAGGTTGTATAAAAGTGACTCCAATGCCATAAACAACACTGTTTAACAAGAACAAAAGATCATGTGAGTTTAGACAGTCAATTATTTACAAAAATTGCAGAATGCATTTTTTGAATCACTGCTGATTTTATTTCCTGCTCTGACAACAGTGATAAATGGTTAAACATCAGACTCACCCCAACCAGATTCTGTTTACATGCAATTGGCCATTAAAATATGAATAGGAATCTGCTTCAATTTCTCTCAACCCTTGAACTTGATCTAGATCTAGGCTTGCATACCTATTCAGAATGTCCATTAGTCTTTCAGTCAAACAAGTAAGAAACTTCAGGACTTAATTAAAGATATTAACAAATGCTACAATTCAGTTTGGCATCATTTTATGTTGAGCATTTTTTTTTTTTTTAGTGGATGTTAGTAAATTGAAAACTAAAACATGTTTGATAAATTATTTATATTTTCAAAACATCAAGGTTTATGAAGTTTGAGAAAAGAGACTTTGTGATTACATGTTGAAGGTTTTGTTTGTTTATAATCCTCCTTCACTACATTCTTCCTGATATATCCAAGTTTTTTGGTTTTGTTTTTTAAAACATTGGCATAAACAAATTGCAAACATAAACGGAAAAATGTAAGGTAACGCAACTAATAGAAACAACAAACCAATTCAACAAGATTCTTGAACCAATAGACACTATGAAGCTGGCAAGATGAGCATGATACTTTTAAAGACCATCAACTCATGGTATCTAGACACCTAGGTCAAGAAAATTAGAGGGGTGAGGCTTGGCACCACAGCGGCAATAGAACAAAATTATTAGTGAATTACTAGTTAGACAGCTTGTATAATTGCAGCATGTTAGCATTTATATTTAAGAAAGAAATCTCAGAACAAAACATATAATGCACATTAAAAACCTTACTGAAGCATCAGTGCTCTAAAATAGAGGTGGCAATTCATATCCGTGTGTAGTGTCCATGTTTTAATATATGTCAGTCTTCAAATATCTCCAAGTTCACCAAAGTATTAAAAACTCATTTACAATGAAAATGACATTAATTGTGTCAACTTTGTGTCAAATAGGTTCTTGTTGGGCTGGGTTGAGTCATTTTCATGTTTCTTTCAGTAAATTTGTATCATTTCAATGTCTAATTACCTGTATTGGCATACATACTGAAAAGTCATCCATTGAAAGTCATTTTAATGTTTCGATCTATTCACTATTGACACTACACTTTAAAGGTCTACGCAATCAAATTCATAATACTGAGAATTAGTAATCAGACTTGGGCATCATGGTTTTGAAACAAGAAAAAGCCTCTTCAAATGTAGGTAAGCTTGATCAATTTTGACTCTCCCTAGACTTCATCATGCCAAGAGAATCATAGCGCTTTCGAAGCATTAGTAAACAAACATATATGGAGAAATCACAACTGCAATGAATTTACAGGCCAGAGAAGATGACTATGTAACCACAGAACCAGAAAACAAAAGCTAGTGTTACACCAAAGAGAATGTGAAGAATTGACCAGGTAATACTTTGACTGCACTAGAGTTTTGGAACTCCTGTCGGGAACACTCAGATGTTTCTGGAGAAATTTCGACATGAAATGGTTTCTTGTTCCAGTTGACGCATTATTAAATAATAACTTCCACTATTCATAGGATGGTGTAAGGTAAAATCTCTGATTCTGTGGCTTCTGCATGATCTATAAAAGAAGTACATGCTGATAATTTTGAGATGAAATGGAAATGAGATATAAGTCTGTTGATTACTTTGGTAAAATAATCTCCACCAAGTGACCCTTTCTTTGCAGTGCAGAAGATAGCCCTGTAACATATGATGCCAAAGATCCAACAGAGATGACGGGATCCATTTCAGTACAAATGTGGACGATGTGAAAACTTCTCCTGGAGAGAAGATTGTAGCAACCAGATAAGATAGAACAAAGAAAAATATATGTAAACGGGAAGAGAAAATAAGGAAAATAGAGAGCAATGATTTGATATAACACCTTGCTATAAAACCTAGTGATCTCACATAGGTGTAATTAATCCCATATGAAAAGTTTGTACATGCACATATGTAACGCACTGTCCTTCTACCTCATCTATGGCCACAGTTTACTGTTCCCTGAATTCAATCAATTGCCTCCGTAAATGACACCAAAGCAAGCAATTTTTTTATTCCTTTTATTTTGGGTAAATTTCATAAAACCCCCCTCAACAATGATTTCCTTCCTACACACCCTCAACTAAAAGAAAATCCCCCCTTGGATTTATCTGGTCAATAGTAATTTTAATATTAACTATCAACAGAATCAGTTAAATTACTTAAATACCCTGGTAAAAACCCCACTAACTGTAAATTTCATTAAACCCTCCTCAATTATCAGCTTTCCTTCAAATACCCCTCAACTATGAAAACATCAAATACTCCCTAAATCTAATGGCCAATGCTAATTTTAACATTGGCCGGCCAACATGGCCACCAAATGTGACCTGTACCACAATGGTCTACACAATCCATCAGCACTATCACCGTCACCGCCACCACATTCTTCCCATTTTCTCCACTTTCAAGTTGAGAACTATCTTATTTCCCTCTAGAATCGGTGGAATTTGTGTAGACAATCGATGGCAATACCGCCTCTGATGGCATTCATGTCCATCTTGGGCTTGAAATTTATTGGCCAAACATGAACATCCACTGCAGCGACTTCCTTGACATTGATGTCAGTGCCGTGACGTTCACCTTCCGGATCCATGATCTTCGCACAGACCCACTCGGATTCGATCCCAAGAACTTAGTCGAGTTCGATCAATTCATGCTTGGCAACATGTACTCTTTGTCCTCGTTGTGACTTAACTGATAATCCATACCGTAGTTGGGGGGAGGGTATTTGACAAAAAGTTGATAGTTGAGGGGTTTAAATGACATTTATAGTCAACAGGGCATTAAAATGGGGTATTTAAGTAATTTAACAAATTCCGTTGACAATCAACATTAAAATTAGCTTTCACCATTAAATCCAAGGGAATATTTGATTTTTTTTAGTTGAGGGAGGATTTAATCAAATTTAACCTTTTTTGGGGTTTGGGTTGGGATGGGGATATTTCCTCTAGAATGAAGAATTAAATATTTTAGTTAAATATATAATATAACTGTTAAGATGAAATGTGTAAACCAGAACAAACTGATGACCGGAAAATATTACTTTTTCTTTTTGCCTGAGAACTGTTGGAGTTCCGCCAGAAGTTCTGCATCACTACCATTCAGGATTTCAGAGAAGTTGTCAGCCACACTAACTTTTGAATCCATGATCAAGCTTCTCAAATCAGACGCCTCCCCAGTGTCAATCATACCTGTGAGGACCATTGAGTCTATCCTTAACAGCAACTCTGAGCTGATTGATAATTTATCTGCTCAACATGGAAACCCATATATATGAGAGCATTATTTGTTCATCTTCATCATATAGTTCTGTAAAAGCTGAATGCAAACATGACATGGAATCCTTCGAAACGAATGTAGTAGTACACTCAGCCAAGTGAAAGGGGTGCAAGTTTAACTCTTAAAAGTATCTCTAGTAAGACTTGATAAGTTTTTTTGCTAAGACTTGAATGAATGCCACTAACATGAACCAAGCTCAAGGAAAAGTTGGTATTTATTGCATCCATAGGTGCAGCTACCTAGGTAACTGTTCTTATAAAAAAAATAAAAAATAAAAAAACAACTCCAATGAATTCCAGACAAAAATAAACAGAAATAAAATTTTCTATAAATGGAACAGTTAAAGAAGAACCACAAGAACCCTAACATGTGTAAATGAGTCAATGTTTACACACTGTCTTCTGAATCTATATTTATAATATTAAAAGAAATACAAATAAGGAAAGAGAATAAATGAGAATATTCCTAGTGACATATTCCTATCGTACATTTCTAATCTAACCATATACATATTTCTACACTCCCCCTCAAGTTAGAGCATACAAATCATATGAACCAAACTTGTTTTATATATATATGTAATCCAAGATCCCCTAAGTGACTTAGTAAATACGTCTGCTAACTGATCACTAGAATTGACAAAGTTAGTAGCAATGCATCCAAACTAAATCTTTTCTCTGATGAAGTGACAATTCACTTCTATATATTTGGTCCTTTCATGAAACACCAGATTAGAGGCAATGTGCAAGGCAACTTGATTATCACAAATTAATTGTATTTGCTCAATTCAATTCCTGGAGTAACTGTTTGACCCATACAAGTTTACATGTTGCCAATACCATTGCACATATTTTGTTTCTGCACTTAACCTAGTAACTACGTCCTGTTCCTCACTCTTACAAAAAATCAAGTTCCTCCAAACATTTTGCAATAACCCAAGGTTGATCGCCTATCTAAAAGAGATCCAGCTTAGTCTATGTCTAAGTAGCCAATGATCTAAGAATGACCTTTGTCTTCATAAAAAAGTTCTTGGCCCGGCGCCCCTTTGATGTATCTAAGTATTCGGATTGTAGCATCCTAGTCAAGATTATCAAAAACGAATTTTTACTCAAAAGCATTTAGGCTCTGTAAAAACGAAAACGTAAAAGCGAGACGCAAAAGCGAAGATTTTACTTAATACATACACATATATATGTATATATATAAAAGGATGTAAAATAACTATAAATTAATATAGTGTAAGACAATTGTAATTAATTTCATCCATTGATTTTGATCAAATTAATTATGTAAAATTTGGTATAAGTGTTTTACACTTATACGGATGTCAACTAATCTCTTCTCATATATATATATATATATATATGTATGTATATATAACATAAACAATAAATAATAATTCAAATTAAAATAACTAAATCATAAATACTCAAATATAAAGTTAACATAAGTACAATAACAATAAGGAATTAAACTAAAATAATCAAGTCACTTATATGAAATAGAGATTAAAATAGTGTATTGGATGAAAGCGATTAGTAAATTGAAAAATTATAAATTTAAAATTAAAAGCGTGAAAGCAGCTAGTAAAAGCGTGATTTATAGTTTTTATCACTTTAAGGCGAGTTTTTACAAGATTTTACTCAAAAAACATTTTACGTGTAATCGAAAGCGTTTGGTATATACTTTTACGCTTTAAAAAGAGATTTTGATAACCGTGATCCCAGTGACTATCACATGGAGATTGTAGAAACTGACTAACTACACTTACAGTAAAGGAAATGTCTAGTCGAGTGATGGTAAGGTAATTCAATTTTTTAACAAGTCTCCGATACCGTCCAGGATCCGATAAAAGCTCCCCCTATCCTGGTAGGAGTTAAATATTTGGACCCATAGGAGTGTCTACAGGTTGACAATCTGCCAAGCTAGTCTCTTCTAAGATATCAAGAGCATACTTTTGCTGAGAAATAATAATAATAATAACAATTAAAGACTGAGCTATCTCAGTACTAAGGAAATATTTTAAGTCGACCCAAATCCTTGATCTGAAAATGACATAAGAGGTGTTGTCTTAATTAACTGATACCTTCTTCATCATCTCTTGTAATAACGATATCATCTACATACACCACAAGATAAATGCTCTGATAATGTGAAGAATGGTGATAAAAAATAAAATGATCTATCTCATTGCAAATCATACCAAACTATTGAACTACTGAACTGAATCACCCAATCCATGCTCGTGGAGACTGTTTTAGGTCGTAAACTGATCGTGTAGGCAACATACTAAGCCAGACTCTTCCTGAGCGACAAATCCAAGAAGTTGCTGCATATAGACTTTTTCAACAAGCTTACCATGTAAGAAAGTATTTTTGATATCAAGTTAGAAAAAAGGCCAATGACACATTGTAGCCATGGAGAGGAGAAGATGAATAGAGGCAATCTTAGCGATAGGAGAGAATGTATCGCCACAATCCAAGCTATAAATCTGAGTATAATCTTTTGCCACTAAATGGGCCTTCAAGCGATCAATCTTTCTATCAAATCCAACCTTGACAGTATAAACTCATTGACACCCAACTGTGAACTTGCCCGAAGGAAAGGGAACTAGTTCCCAAGTGCCACTAGAAGGTAAGGCTGTCATTTCATCTAGCATAGCCTGTTACCATCTAGGATGTAATGAAGCCTCACTTGTACTTTTAGGAATAGCTACAAAGGACAAGAAGGTGACAAAAGCAAAATAGGGAGAAGACAGATGATGGTAACTCAAAAATGTAAAATAGAATAAGGGTTTCGAGTAAAACGGTTACCTTTACAAATAGCAATAAAAAGGCTATAAGAAGGAAAGACCTGAGGCAGTAAAAGCGTTGGATCTAGATGAGCATATGCAAGAAGGAGTGGTCAACGTTGATAGGTTTGAAAAGGACAAAACATAGCAACTTCAGCAAGTGGTCCAAGAAAAGGAGCTGGAAGAACGTTTGATTCAAATGAATTCTCAATGGAATAGGAATAGAATGAGAACTCCTCAAAGCAAGTAACATCTACAGAGATCATGTAGCGATGAGTATTAGGATGATAACATTGGTAACCTTTCTAAAAACGAGAGTAGCCAAAACAGATGCATTTGAGAGATTTAGATTCAACTTTGTTCTGTCTAGAGGTTAGTTTATAACCAAAACAAACACCACCAAAAATACGGGGAGGAAGAGAATATAATAGAATAGATGGAGACAACAAAGACATAGGAATGTGATTTTTTAAGGCAGAAAAAAGCATGCAATTGATTAAGTAACAAGTAGTATAGACAACATCACCCCAAAAAGTAAAGGAACATGATTATGAAGAAGTAAAGTGTGTGCTATTTTAATCAAGTGTCGATTCTTACAATTAAGATACCATTTTACTAAGGTGTGTGGGCACATGAAGATTGGTGAAGAATACCTGTGAAGACATTAAAGAAGTGAAAGAATAAGAAAACCATTCACGCACTTTATCACATTATCACTTCTTAAAGTGTGAATAGAGGTATGAAATTGATTACGAATCTCAACACAAAAAGTTTGAAAAACTGAAAAAATCTCAACATGAATTTTTATTAAAAACAACCAAGTACATCTAGAAAAATCATCAATAAATGCCACAAAATATTGCTAACCAAAAATTGTGGGAAACACGACTAGGACCCTAAATGTACATATGTACTAACTCAAAAGGAGACGTAGCCCGATTATTAACTCGCTTGGAAAATGAACTTTGAACATGTTTAACAAGTTGACATGACTCATACTCTAAAAACTTTAAAGACAACAAACTAGGAGCCATCTTCTAGAGTTTAGAGATGCTTGGATGACCTAACTGATTGTGGAGAATAGAAGGTGAAACAACGGATGTAAAGGCAGCATGAGATAATGGCAGTGTAAGGTGGTATAACCCCTGAGATTCATGCCGTTCGCCAATCGTCCGTCCTGTATCTCAATCTTGTAGAAGAACAGAGTTACAATTAAAAGCAATAGAACAATTAAGGGAACTAGTTAATTTATTGATAGTAATAAGATTAAAAAGGCAGTCAAAGACAAAAAATAGAATTAAGAGTTAAAGAAGGGAGAGGACAAATTTGTCCCAAGCCTTTAGCCATTATTTTTGAACCTTTAGCTAAAGTAATCATAGGGAGAGACCGTGGACTGCAGAGATTAGAAAAAAAGATTAATATTACTAGAAACATGATCAGAAACACCCAAGTCCAGAATCCAAGGACCAGGAGAAGAGTGAGTGAGGCAAGCAACCGAATTACCACTCTGAGCAATAGAGGCAAAAGCATATGACTAAGAACAAGTAGATGCAGATGACTGAGTAGCCTAATATGATAGATAGCTCTCATAGGTAGCAGTAGGAATGGTAACTGTGGGCACCTTAGATATAGGAGAAACTTATGGTTGGGCAATATTGGCAGCACGATGTGGCCTACCATGTAATTTGTAGCAGCATCCACGAGTGTACCCCATCTTATGACAATAAGTACACTGAGTAAACTGGACTTTACTATGCCTTTGTTGGCCAAACCCAGTGAAGCAATATTAGATTGGGAAGCCAAGAAGAAAAGTCACCAACAGGAGTAATCGAAGTAGATATAGACTGAGTAACCCGAAGTAGTCGAACAAAAACATCTTCCATAGAAGGAATGGAAGAACTTGCCAGTGTCTGTTGACAAACAGAGTTATATTCTAAAGATAAACTAGTCAATGTAAAGAGCATGAATTATCATAATTAGATTCCTAAGTAGCAGTATCAGTAGTGATAGAAAGGAACTTAGTAAACTTTGACCAAACGCCCTAGAAATGTCCCAAATAAGTAGATATAAGTAGATATGAGCTCATCCTCTTTTAAAAAATTAATTATGTCAGATATAATCTCATAAAATTGCTAAATGTCATTTGTATAAAGTAATTTGGCTTTCTCCCATACTTCATAGCAGGTTTAGTAAGGTCAA